ATGGTAAGTTCACCAATGTTTTTGTAATAAAGTAGACCCGTATTGTTTGTTAATTGACTTTATCCCATGATTTAAAAAATTGGCGATGGTTAATATTGGCTCAAAAATAATTCCTTAAATTGCGCCGGAGCCCCTTTTAGATTAATTGAATTCGCATAAAAACAACAAAGAGTGGCTACGTGCGATTTTATTCTTTGATCTTGATACATGGGACATTTCTGTTATTCAAACAAATCTGCACGAGAATGACAACATACAAGTTGACAGTTACCATTGGTTTGGGGTTCATGAAGAATAGGCTCTTCTATCGAGCCTACAGTTATTCTTTTCAAAAATAAAATGAGTGCCTTGGATTTTTGTGTGGATTTGATAGCGGTTATACTTTACTAATATTCTCTGACATCGGAGACTTGTGTCGCGTTCATTTCATTTTTGCGGTAAGTACGAGCTTCTTATGTCTGATTTGAAAGCACTTTCGACTCCAGTTGCAAGTTCTATTTGTCACTTTTGTGACTTTCGCAGTGTACCCCCTCCCACCCATATTATTTTAATACGTCATAATACATTATTATCATATACCGGTGACGGTCAAGATTTGCTCAATACTTTTCGCCAAGTAACACAGCGTAAGAATATATAGTCCCCGTGTCGAACCCAACATCTCATGTTTTCGCGCGTTTCTGACCACGTGACGTACGGTTAACCGCATTGCGAAGTGATTTACATGTATGGCACTGTGATTTATGAATGGTTGATTTAGATTAACTGAAGCTGCGAGTAATGAAGTTATGTGTAAAATCTCATCGAATATAATTTAAAGTTTGGATTTGATAGCAGCCAATAAGATGAAATGATACTTTTATAAAATTGTAAGTTATTCATTGTTTGCATACACGTACATTGTGGCACCACGTTATACATGTACAGTGTGTTAGAAATACGACCGTAGCTGCCTTGCCAACGGTTAACATATCTTGTATTCAACTTAAAAAAATTACATTTTTTGTCAAGATGCTTACATCGGGATGATATCGGCACTCAAGCGATTCACCGTGTTTCACCGCGAAACACCATAATTCACCGCGAAACACCCTATTTCGCGGTGATTTGGCTAGCTGCCGTTTCGCTAGCGATTCTCCAAGATTCCACCGTGAAATAGAGTGTTTTTCCGCGTTGTTCGGCGATTATAGTCCCAAACTCCAGCACTGTAGTGTATGTAACCAAGAATGACCCTTACACGCAGTTATTGATCTTCAGAACCATTTCCCATACAAACAACTAATCACTCTCCTTAATATCAGATCATTCTCCTTAATTTCTAAATCACTCTTCTTATCGAAACTGGGAGAGCTTTTTTAGGGGAGCGATTTTTTCAATTTGTTCATTAAGGGGAGCTTTTTTCGGCTCTCCTCTAAAATTCAAAAAACAACGACTGCGGAATTCACTTTCAAAATATCGGAATTCGCACTTAAGACCTTCGTATTTACTTATATTTTACATTAATAATAAATTACTTCAAAACACCGGAATTCACTTTGATAAAATCGGAATCTGCCCAAGACAATTGTATTTACTTATATTTTGCATTAATATTAATACTAGAATGTATCTACTGTAAAATGATATTTTGAGATGGTCAACTCAGGAAACACAATATGATTAGAACGCAGCAGCAGTAATCCATGTAAATTGTCAAACCGAACATTTCTCGAATGTGGAGCAAAATGTTCTCAGTGTAGATGAGCTAAGTTTATTCGAAAATTAACTTGGTAATAATAAGCCAATCAAATAAGTCTCATCAATAATGGTTTCAAGTAGTCCAGATTGTTAATTGTCTTGTATCACTAACGAGACGCAAAAACACAGGGGTCACAAAATTTCAGCTTAATCCTTGCTGATAACAATGATGTGTTCAGTAGTTATTCTAATAATTAATTTGCAGTGGATATGAAGTTCACATTTATGTTTAACCTGTAAACAACAACAATCTATGGTGGCTGACGCAATCACACGACACTGCTTGTCCTGTTATTTTGATGGAATATCAAGTGATGCATATTGTTATTCATCTGGTATAAAGAGATTGTCTAGGGTAAGTCATGTTACCAATGTTGTTGCTCTGAGTGTTTAATGTCCACTTCCACCCAAGGTGATATCAAAGACAAATATTCTTATTTTCATTTTTAATTATCTTAGTTAATCTATAACATGGTTTAATATATACTCTTCAAAAAAAGTTGGGGATATTGAAATGCAAATACCTATGCAGGTTGTGATATGATAAATAGTCATGGACACTTGACATGCTTTGAGAGCATGTTCACAGATGAAGAACTTATCGCCCAACAGAACCACTGAGCTGCACGCGTGACACACAACAGTGCCATAAACGTGGGAGGGGTTCATTGTCAAATTTGACACTACCAGGAAGGGTTGATGAAAACTGGCGTGTGCTGGTTTATCCTATCCATGTTTGCTTTCCTATTGGTTCTTGCATAAGATTTACTGTTTAGCATATCTTTGCTTTAGTGTGTTACGTTTAATTTGCAATGAGACGTCTTCAACATGATGAACGTCTACGTGCTATTGGCAAGCCATCGTGCTTAATGTGTCACAGTCTGTGATCAGCAGACTGTGGAAGCGGTACCAACAAACACACAATGTTGATGATAGACCTCGTTCAGGTCGTCCTAGAGCCACTACACAAGCTAAATCGTCCCAGCGGTCGCCAAGGGTTGTCGCATATTTATTCCTTTGTAGGTAATTGGGGGCCTTTACAAGACAGTTCCATACAGATCAGATTATAATTTTTGCCGTTTGAGGGTTCACAAGGTTCTACTAACTGAAACAAGGGTCTCAACTCTGGAAGTTGTTGAAATTTGACAGGCTTTTTCATTTTACTAATTTAAATAATGCATATGTCATACAGATTAAATGATCACTTTTGTCACAAGGTTCACAACCGCCATAACACTAGAAATTATTGACGGAAATTGCTAAAATTCAATAGACCTCTGTTTCACAAATTTAAATGATGCATATAAATTTCATACATATTGGATGATAACTTTCATCAATCGAGCATTAACAAGGTTCATACAGATCGGCAGATAACTTTTGATGTTAGAGCGTTCACAAGGTTCAATAAAGTGAAACAAGGGCCATAACTCTAGAAGTAATAAACGGAAATTCAATTCAATAGGATTCTTCTCTTTACTAATTTAAATGACGCATGCAAATTTCATACAGATCGGCAGATAACTTTTGATGTTAGAGCGTTCACAAGGTTCAATAAAGTGAAACAAGGGCCATAACTCTAGATGTACATGTAATAAACGGAAATTGCTGAAATTCAATAGGCTTCTTTGTTTCACTAATTTAAATAATGCATATAAATTTCAGAAAGATCGGATGATAACTTTTGGCGTTAAAGAGTTCACAATGTTCAATAAGTGAAACAAGGGCCATAACGCATGCAAATTTCATACAGATCGGCAGATAACTTTTGATGTTAGAGCGTTCAAAAGGTTCAATAAAGTGAAACAAGGGCCATAACTCTAGATGTACACGTAATAAACGGAAATTGCTGAAATTCAATAGACTTCTTCGTTTCACTAATTTAAATAATGCATATAAATTTCAGAAAGATAGGATGACATCTTTTGGCGTTAAAGAGTTCACAATGTTCAACAAAGTGAAACAAGGGCCATAACTCTAGAAGTAATAAACGGAAATGGCTGAAATTTAATAGGCTTCTTCGTTTCCCTAATTTAAATATTGCATAAAAATTTCACAAAGATCAGATGTTAACTTTTGGCATTAGAGCGTTCACAGGGTTCAACAAAGTGAAACAAGGGCCATAACTCTAGACGTAATAAACAGAAATTATTGAAATTAAATAGGCTTCTTCATCTCACTAATGCAAACAACATATATCAATTTTAAAACAACTGGATGATAACTTTTGGCGTTAGAGCGTTCACAAGAAATTGTGGACGATGGACGGACGGACGGACGGACGGACGGGGGCGACGGCAATATACGCCCACATTTCTATGTGGGCGTATAAAAACTTCAAATAAGCCGCCCACATGAACTGTTTATGTTCATGTGTAGGCAATTGGCCTGTTATTAACATACACTGGTTACCTCTAATAAAAACAGCAGTCAGCAGTGCATTTCCGCAGTTTTGTATTGTTTCTGAATATCCCCAACTTTTTTGGAAGACTGTATTTGAAATGAATTCCGGTAGTCTTTGAAATAAATACACCTACAGCGCCTTCATCAGGCTTGTGGAGGGATGAAAATAGTTATTTGTTATATTATAATGTATTGTACATTTAAAATAAATTAGTTTTATGGGAGGATTCGGGGGTTTTCGAAGTGAATTCTGGTGATTTTAAGTGAATTCAGGTGGTTAGTTGGGCCCTTAAAAATGTCCATACAGAATGTTTTATACAGAAAATCTATTGTTATGATTGAGTTTTCTGTGGAATTGGAGAAATAAATGTGGGATGTTTTACAGTTTATTTATCTATATCACTAGTTTAATTCACAAACCAGTAAAGGGCACTAGCCCAGGACTAGTACGGCTGAATAGATCACTAGCCCTGAAGTTATTTTTGGTAGCGTGGTGGATTTTTACAACCCTGGTCCACAAGCTAAAAACAGGATTTTTCGTACAATCAGGAGCTATAATCCATGAAGTTATGGTCCGATACATCCCAATATGGACAGGAACCGAGATCTTTGGGAGATTTACCTATATTTCAAGTTTCGTCAAAATCGGATAAAAATTGTGACCCGTAGAGTGTCCACAAACAAAGTGTTGACGGACAGAGGCAACGACAATATGCGTCCACATGAAAATGTGGGCGTGTACTAAAAAGAGTTGTTCGATTCTTTGACCTTTGTGAAAATTAGCAGTTTTGTCATTTTTGAAAATTATCTGCTTTATCAACCCTACATGATTGCATGACCATAAATCTATTGAGAATTACCTTCTTAAACCACTGGATAGCATCTGATATTTCATTGTCTTTAAGGCCAGTTTTAGTGAGATCATCAACAATAGCAGGAAATATGGCATCAAATTCTTCTAATTCTCTACATGCTTTATTTCCCTTATTGTTTGAGCAGCTATTTTGTCCAGCCATTTCTCAAGTCTTGATGGAAACTACGAAGAATAAAATATATAATTTGAAAGGTAGAAAAAATCGAAACTCATCCTTCAATTTCTAAGAAAAAGATCTGTTGTCTGTCTATAAAACATATGTCCACAGCCAACTGGAATTCTTTTTAAAGTTCCTATCATTATTTACTCACACCCACACAAAGCATGGAAATATACCCACATAACAGCCAGGTGAGCTAGGTCTAGAAAAAAAAGAAGATAGGGCCGGGTATGTTTAATTACCGGTAGTCCTAATATACAATTAACTTTTTTTCAATTTCTTATTGCCATTAGGGGTCGTCTGTCCAACCTCGTTGGTTTTCACCGGGTCCTCTCGTTTCCTCCCACTACTAAAGAGCCCTATGCACAATAGAATTATTGAAATAAAAATAAACCAAATGTTATAGTCCCGATATGAGCTATTGAATAAGACCTAACCCTAGCTCACTAGCCTAGAAGTCTAGGGTTTGCTCCCTGTGTTGGTTTCCCTTTGTCAGTGGTGCAGAATGGAGGAACTGACAAGAAAAGCTGTCTAGTTGTTTGCATGAGAAAACAGCCGAAACAAATAATGATGATGCCCGAATAATATCTTGTTTAGATTTCATGGAACCCGTGGTCTTCAAAGTTGGTCGCCAAAACATATAATGATGATTCCCGAAAAAATGTCTCTGTTTATTAAAACGATATTAAAGATACATTATGGGAGATTAGATAAAGAATTGGCAGTTCTCACTATAGTTAAAGATAGGTTGCCAGGCAACAAAACATACGCCCATAGCAGCTAAATCGTCCAGGCAGTCAACATGAGTCGTCGACTCGTCGCATATTTTTACTTTTGTTGGTAATGAAACATTTATAATACACTAAAATCTGATTAAAAGTAACAACTCATTCAGTAATTATCAGAAAATAATTAGAATTTGTTTGGCCCATGCTAACATTTAGTATACAAAACATTTAATACCATGGATTTAGATGTTCAAGTTACCAAAAATCATTGAAAATCAATATACTTGTTTGTCAAAGTGATCAAGGGCCATAACTCTGGCAGTAATTATCAGAAATCGCTGAAAATCAATAGGCTTCTTTGTCTCATGACCTTAAACAGTGTGTATAAATCTAAAGTCAATTGGATATTAACTTTGGCCTCTAGAGCGCCCACAAGATATTTTGAAGTGATCAAGGGCCATAACTCTGCAGTATTTATTGGAAATCCCTGAAAATCAATAGGCTTCTTCGTCTCATGACCTTAAACACTGTGTATAAATCTAAAGTCAATCGGATATTAACTTTGGCCCCTACCACAAGATTTTTCAAAGTGATCTGCTGAAAATCAATAGGATTCTTCGTCTTATGACTTTAAACACTGTGTATATATTTAATGTCAATCGGATATTAACTTTGGCCTCTAGAGCGTCCACAAGATTTTTCAAAGTGATCAAGGGCCATAACTCTGGCAGTAATTATCGGAAATCGCTGAAAATCAATAGGCTTCTTCATCTCATGAACTTAAAGACTGTGTATAAATTTAAAGTTAATCGGATATTTGACATTGGCCCTTAGAGCGTCCACAAGATTTTTTGAAGTGATCAAGGGACATAACTCTGCCTGTAATTATCGGAAATTGCTGAAAATCAATAGGCTTCTTCGTTTCATGGCCTTACACACTGTGTATAAATTTAAGGTCAATCAGATATTAACTTTGGCCTCTAGAGCGTCAACAAGATTTTACAAAGTGATCAAGGACCATAACTCTGGCAGTAATTATCAGAATGTGTATAAATTTAAAGTCAATCAGATATTAACTTTAGCCTCTAGAGTGTCCACAAGCAATTGTGGACGCCGGACCGACGGACAGGGGCGACGACAATATACGACCACATTTCAATGTGGGCGTATAAAAAGGCAGGAAAATATCGAAAAAATATATGAGATAACTTTGAACGGAACTAATATTTTTTGAATCAGATTGACCTCAGCCGTTCGAATATTTAGGTTAAATTTGTAAATTTTGAAAATTAAAGACATAAATTGTCCTGCAAACAACTTTGTCGGCACGTAAAAGGTCAAAGGCGAAATTTTCAAACACCAAATTTCGACCTTGATCCCGGGCTATCCTGAAATGTATTAATTTCAGAAATAAGAGACGTATTGAACATATTACGGCCTATTGTGTTTATTTTCACGTCCGTTCAAGTGGATTTGTCACTGTTCTTCATAGTCAATTCCCAATGGAGACCATCAGTTGACCGAAATCAAAATTCTGTTCTGAACGTTTTTTAGGCATTCCTTCAAGGATTCAGAAAATGTAACTCCCATGTCTGTAAGTATAATATCGCAAAAGCCTCAGGGATTTTTTACATTTCAAGATGGTGGCACTTCCGGTTCGATCGATAGGCTTCATATTTTGTGTAAGCATCATTAATTTCTTATCTAGTATAGAAAAAAATTTCCAGGGCAATCGCAACTATATTTTGTTGATTTCTTTTAAAAGTTTGATCCTTATTTTCTCAAAGGGGAGATAACTTAGAAAATTTCTAATGACTTCGTTGAAGTTGGATCAACCAGGTCTACTTACATTCTTAATTTATGAAACTCGTACTAAGTAATATTCAAGAAGTTATCATGTTGGTTTTACTTCCGGGATGAACTGTCAATGACGTAATATTTGAATTTCGAAAATAGAAAATAGCAGATTTAAAGTAAATGTTTTAAGGTACTCAAAGAAAAAAGAATTAGTAAAATAGATCACAAAATCTATGCTGATATCTAATGGTATCGTTGAAGTTGAGTCAATGAGATCTACATACATTCCAAATTTCTTGAAAATCGTACCAATATTAAAGAAGTTGTCAGTTTGGTTTTACTTCCGGAACGAAATGTCACTTTAATAAATGAATTGGCCAATAACTGACAGTTATAACGAGATATATTTCAACAATGCATCACTTCATGTCGAATGTTACTGATGTTGTCAAGAATGTTAAAAACAAAGAGGAATTATTAAAATCGTCCAAAAAGGCGCCGAGTTATAACGAGAAACATTTCAACCGCTTAACATTTTATATGTTGCAGAGAACGTTTCGTTACCAATCGATTTTAGTAAAACTTTCAAAATGAGAAACTATTGTCCAACTTAATCGTTCGCGATCAACATTTGACATGATTTCGAATGTCTGCAGTTTTTTTTAATAAATAAATTGAATAACGTGAATCTAACAAAAGCAAAATCAGTTAAAATCTGACCGGGTTAAAAAAGGAAATGTTTTAAACAGACATCACTTCACGTCAGGTGTAACTGCTTTTGTCAACCAGCAGCTGCCATGCAGGATACGCCAACATTTTCGAGAGATGGATAGAGAACAAGCTAACAAGAAAGTGATTTTTCCTACAATTTTGGGCCGATTTTCACGAAATTCAAACTCAGTCGTCCTTAGGGTGTAACAGTGATATAATAATACGTTTTTTTAAATTGGATAAAAATTATGACCTTTATAGGTTCCACAAGCTAAAAACGCGATTTTTCGTACAATCAGGGGCCATAATTCAGGAAGTTACGGTCCGATATGCGCGAATATCGAAAGGAACCGAGATCTTTCGGTTATAAACTTACATTTCAAGTTTCAACAAAATTGGATAAAAATTGTGACCTCTATAGGGTCCACAACCTTGATATACCATATTTTTACGCTATTTGAGAACGAACGGCAGCCATTTTGTCTGTCAATTTTGGGGTGATTTTCACAAAATTCGAACTCAGCTATCCTTAGGGTGTAAGAGTGATATAATAATAGGTTTTTTTAAATCAGATAAAAATTATGACCTCTATAGGGTCCACAAGCTAAAAACGTGATTTTTTGTACAATCAGGGGCCATAATTCAGTAAGTTACGGTCCGATATGCGCGAATATTGAAAGGAACCAAGATCTTTGTGTTATAAACTTACATTTCAAGTTTCAACAAAATCGGATAAAAATTGTGACCTCTATAGGGTCCACAACCTTGATATACCATATTTTTACGCTATTTAAGAACGAACGGCAGCCATTTTGTCTGTCAATATTGGGCCGATTTTCACGAAATTCGAACTCAGTCGTCCTTAGGGTGTAACGGTGATATAATTATATGTTTTTTTAAATCGGATAAAAATTATGACCTCTATAGGGTCCACAAGCTAAAAACGCGATTTTTTGTACAATCAGGGGCCATAATTCAGGAAGTTACGGTCCGATATGCGCGAATTATTGAAAGGAACCGAGATCTTTGGGTTATGAACTTACATTTCAAGTTTCAACAAAATCGGATAAAAATTGTGACCTCTATAGGGTCCACAACCTTGATATACCATATTTTTACGCAATTTGAGAACGAACGGCGGCCATTTTGTCTGTCAATTTTGGGCCGATTTCCACGAAATTCGAACTCAGTCGTCCTTAGGGTGTAACAGTGATATAATAAGTTTTTTTAAATCGGATAAAAATTATGACCTCTATAGGGTCCACAAGCTAAAAACGTGATTTTTTGTACAATCAGGGGCCATAATTCAGGAAGTTACGGTCAGATATGCGCGAATTATTGAAAGGAACCGAGATCTTTGGGTTATAAACTTACATTTCAAGTTTCAACAAAATCGGATAAAAATTGTGACCTCTATAGGGTCCACAACCTTGATATACCATATTTTTACGCTATTTGAGAACGAACGGCAGCCATTTTGTCTGTCAATTTTGGGGTGATTTTCACAAAATTCGATCTCAGCTATCCTTAGGGTGTAAGAGTGATATAATAATAGTTTTTTTTAAATAAGATAAAAATTATGACCTCTATAGGGTCCACAAGCTAAAAACGTGATTTTTTGTACAATCAGGGGCCATAATTCAGTAAGTTACGGTCCGATATGCGCGAATATTGAAAGGAACCGAGATCTTTGTGTTATAAACTTACATTTCAAGTTTCAACAAAATCGGATAAAAATTGTGACCTCTATAGGGTCCACAACCTTG